ACACACACACACACACACACACACACACAAATGGACCAAATAAAGGAGCTATGCTAATTTGTAAATAAAGTATAAAACCAATAGAGTGCAACTTAATCTTTTGTGTATTTCTTCACTCACTTTGCTAAGAGCTGGACCATCACAGGCTCTTGAGTCAGAGCTCCAAGTAGACAAAAATCATAATTCTTCATACTTCAGCTGTTTGTGTCAACAAGATTTGGTTGGTTGGTTGGTTTTTTTATCTTTTCCTTTGACAAAATAACCAAGAAAATTTCGAGGGAAGTGTCTCTTTTGGTTTATGGTTTCAGCTGTGACATGGTAGACAGGTAAGAGGAGAACAGCTCACATCAAGGCTGTCAGGAAGCAGAGAGAAAAAGAATGTCTGTGTTGCCGAGGATCCCCTCTTTTCCTCGTCTATTCCCATGTGGACCTTGCAGCTGTGGAATGCTGCCCTCCCTACTCATGTTTTCTCTTTAGATAACTCTCTCTCTGGCAATGCCCTGAGATACACTTCACTAGACTCCTAGCTGTTCACCAATCAAATTGATAATCAAAAGTAACCCATCAATGACATGACTTAGGGATGTAATTTCTCATTCATGTGCAATAAATGAGAAACAGAGAAACATGCCAAAACTGATCTAGTTGAGTTGGAAAGCAGGCACTCAAAAAGAATACCTCAGTTTTTATTCCTCTACCCCAAGAGGTAACTGAGAAATAATGAGAAGGAACAAACCCCAAATGAAGCTGTATTTTTCTCATTCATGGGGTGACAATTATTTATTTTATTTAGTGTGATTATTCCATAACTTCAAGTGATACATTGAATTGCTTTTATAATCCAAAACTGAAAATTAAAATATAAGAGTGAAAAACTGGAAAATAATATTCATTCCAATTATTGCTTTCTCCTAAACAACACAATATATTTTCCTTGAAAGACCTTTAATTTTCAGGTTAAAAGGTAATGATTTTAAGGAGTTTATTTTGGAAAATTCTGGAAGTAAGAATGCATGGAGTGAGTGGGGATTTTTGTTGAAATTGAAAGCATTATTATTTTCCATTCATCAAGGAGTCGCAAAGTGAGTTATCGTGGAGGCAGACTGAAAGGGGAGCATGACATCTGGAGTGGACACGGCTCACACTGGATAGAGTGGCACATAAAAAAAAACTAGAAATATATTGCTGAGCTGGAGAGAGATGTGAGTGAGAAGGATGAGGTGAGAATGGGGGAGCCAGGGAGGGAGTAGAACAGGGGAGCAGGCAGCCTAGCACAGAGAATGTAGGCTCACATATGCCTGGTTATGCACAATGCCAAGATTTACAAATTGCCAGGGCCTCCAAATAATAGAACATTTAAGACCTCTCTGCTTTATTTATTTGCTTTTGCTAACACTGCTCTTGTTCATCAAAGCAGGAAGAAAACCAATAAGCACTTGGGTTTGCCGACATAACTCAAAACACACCGAGTTTTCAGGCCCACAAATCTTTCTAAGAAACATAATTTTCTCGTCACCATCTTCTGCACAAGAAGTAAAAAAAACATAATTTTATTTGCAAAGAATCTTCTTTTGTTTTTGATAGAAAGGGAACGCTGGAAATAATTCTTTTGGGCTTTGGTTGGAAATTGGGAAAATTTAAATTTTCTATGTGTTGCCTAATGAGATTTGTGTGAGTATTTGGTTTTACCTAGGACCACAAGGTCTGTTCCTAACATGAGGGTAGTTGTAATGCACAGGGAGGCAGAAGGCACACGCTTTAGAGCTGGGCTGCCAAGGCTGTTTCTAATACTAAACTTACACAGCCTTCCTTCTAGGGTAGTCATTTTCGTCTGTAAAACCAGCAGTATCAATATAAGCAAAGCTATAGTTTGGGGTACACACTTAATCCAATGAAGGAAAACTGGTTAGTTGGGTTTTATAAATTCTCATTCAGTATAAAAATATTCAAACTAAGCTAATTCTCACTGTCAATTTCATCATTCTATTTTTAATTAAAACTCAGGAAATGTGCTGGAGATGTGACTAGTGGCTAAGAATGTTTACTGCTCTTCCAAAAGGCACAAATTTTGATCCCGGCAGCCACATAGCACTTCACAACTGCCTGTAACTCTAGTTCCAGGGAATCTAATGCCCTCTTCTGGATTCAATCGGTACTGTGTATACATAGTTCACATACTCATGCACACACACATACACATAAAATAAATAAATATTTAAAAACTAACAAGAAATGGGATGATGACTATTTTCTGTCTTTACAACTTTTATCTATCTAGCTAAGATTTTTTAAGCAGAGTCCACATATTTTTAGCTAAGATGTCACTATTTCTATTCATAACTGTGAATAATAGTTACCTTTTTCTTTTTTTACATAGTATATTTTATATACTAACCACCGTTCCCTCTCCCATACCCCCTCCTGTTCTCCCCTAGCTTTTTCCCCATCCCCCACCCCCATCCACTCCTCCAAAAGGGTAAGGCCTCCCACAGGGAGTCAACAAAGCCTGGTACATTCAGTTGAGACAGGTCTAAGCCCCTTGCCTCTGCATCAAGGCTGAGCAAGAAATCCCACCATAGGTAATGGGCTCCAAAAAACTAGCTCATGCACCAGGGATAGATCCTGATCCCACTGCCAGGGAGTCTCTTAAGCAGACCAAGCTACACAACTGTCTCCCACATACAAGGGCCTAGTCCAGTCCCAGGCAGGCTCCACAAGCTGTCAGTCATGAAAAAAAAAAAGACAATGCTAGGTGTCTGTCTAAATAAATAAATAAATAAATAAATAAATAAATAAACAAACAAACAAGCAAAGAAACAGAATCACACAAAATGATGATATACCCAAAGCCTGGAAAAACAGCAAGTATCTGGGTTTTTATTCTTTTTTTTTAAGATTTATTTATTTTATGTCTATGATACCTACATGCATATCTGTGCACCATGTGAATACATGGTATCTGTGGAAGTCAGAAGAGGTAATTGGATCTCTTTGAGCTGGAATTATGGACGGTTTTAGCTGGTGTATGGGTGCTTGGAATAGAACCTAGGTCCTTTGCCACAACCATGAGTGCTCTTAATTGCTTAGACATCTCTCCAGTCCAAGGGTGTGTATTTTTGATTGGCAACTTCTTCCTTTCAATTTTCTAAACTTGAACCACAGAAAAGCCTGGATAGAAGGAAGCACAGATATTAAGTCAGGGAGCCCAGACTGTTGTATTCACAAGGGGTGAGTCTGAGCTGGTTAACAAGGACTTAATAAGTCCCTTGGGCAAAGTCACAAAGTGTGGGGAAGGCTGGAACTAGGACAGTACTGGAAAGTCCATGCAGTGCCCATGCTTACCTATGACTGACTGTAATAAAGCAGTCAGAGCAACCAGTCTAGGAAAAACAGCCTTGAAAAAATGACTTGGTGATACACAGCCGGGCTGGCTTTTGAGAGACAAAGGGTTGGTGTCTGAATTGGGTCACAGCATGTGTGCTGCTGGAAATCAGAGAGGAGGAGCGGAAGACAGAGGCTAGGAACCAGCCAAACCTGGAATGCATGTGCTCTGGTAGTTGTTCTAGTATGAAGTGGACACTGTGGGTGGAGATAGTGCAGCCACAGGGAAGGTTTTGCTTTCTACTTTGTTGGATTCTCTGAAGCAAACCAGCCCTCTCCATCAAATGCTCTGCGGTGCATTTGTGTTTGGGGTGTAGAATGTGAGTTTTTTAAGCTAAAAAAAAATCATCCCGTTGACATGACATACCTGATGTAATATCCACAACTCCTCCCAGCAAATCCACCTTCTGTGTCCTCGTCCATAGCTTGCAAGGCTTCAGGCAAATCTTCAACCAATGGTCCCTATGCTCTCCACTTAGCACTGCTATGTGTATTTAGGAATCCGCATGGAATTTGTTACAATAGCACCAAAAATAATTAAATTAAAAAATAGTAAGAACAAAAGGCTTCAGGCAAGATGTAATAGCACCTCCATAAACCCGAAGGTAGAAAACAGTGCAGAAAGTGCCCCCCAAAAGCTGGTGGTGGAGCTGTTCTCTAGAATCTCCTAGAGAACAGCAAACTGGCTACTCATACGTTGTTAAAAGAGAGAAATGGAAAGTTAGTTTGCACCCTCATTGTCCATCTGGCCTTCCTATTCCTTATCTATCAATTAAATAATACACAATAATAAAACACTATACATTAATAGTGGTTAAAATAGGAATGATCAAGAGGAGCTGCTTTCTGAAACCGGAGGGAAGTGGTTACTTGTTGCCTTACCACTAGATCAGCTGGTGCTTCAACAGTTTTCTTTTTTCCTATGTCACTGAACTAGGGGGAAGGGTCGGTAAGGTGCTTGCCCGACAACCCTGAGGTACAACCCCACCACCCATATTTTACAAAAAGAAGATATATAAAAGAAAAGTTGGCCTTAGTAGCATGCATTGTTTACAGAGATGGAGACAGAAAGACCCCGAGGCTCATGGGCCAGCCAGCTTCGTCTACTTGGCAAGGTCTTGGCTAATGAGAAACACTATCTCAAAAACCAAAGTGAATAATGTCCAAGGAATGACAGATGAGGTTGACTTGGCTCTACATGAACACATATGTACACTGTATACAAACATTCACATGGAGAGATATAATAAAATAATAAATTAAAATGGGGGTACTGATAGGCAAATCAATAGAAATGAAGGTCTTAAGAAAAATATAAATTAATGTGTTCACAATGCAAAGAATGTGTGAGGAGAATCTGACAACACAACATTGTGAGGACTGTGATTCTCATAGATAGATGAGCTGTGAAAAACAAATGAACTTCAGAGGACTGTAAGTTCTCAATTTTTCCAGATGAATAAAATAAGCAACTCTATGTAGTGGTGCCATTATGTAGTAAATGAAAGGTCCCTGGACTCTGAAATCTTATTAGGAGGTGAGCTTGTTTGCTTGTTTGTCTGTTTGTGGTATTGATAAAGTGCCTTGGGGATTATATAAAGCAATAATGAATAATCAACTTGAAATGGGTATTAAGCCAGAGATAGTATGGCTCAATGTGCTACAGGCTTCTCTGAGGTCTTACAGCACACAATGCTTGAAAAGGTTAAATTATTTGTGGTGTGCTCTATTACAGCTCAAAGTATGGTTATAAATAAGACCAAACAGCTATATTTATTTGTGGCGCTGAGTTGAATTTTGATGTGACCAAAAGGCATCGAGGCAGGGTGCCTGTTGTAAGAATAATAACAAGAAATAACTTGGTTATTAGTGTTAGGAAATGTGTACATTGGACTATTCAAAACTTGTAGTTAAAGCTATATAGAAAAGTGTACCATGGTCAGTGCTACCCAAGCTTACTTCAAAGTAGGAACATGTTACTAAGATGCAAAACATTAGCCTGACTGTTCACCAGTCACTAGGGAGATGCTTGTGCTTAAACTTGAGATTGCTGTTACCATTTGGAGTCTGAATCATGGGGAAGATGATAATTGGTTTCATGAGTCAGGTGCCACACTATTGGAAAGCAGCAGGCTGAACAGTGCCATGGAGATGAGGAGACATTTAACTATTCATAGAAATCTTGGTGCTAGAGTGATGACCCAGTGCTTAAGAGTGTATACTGCTCTTCCAGCGGACCAGAGTTCAGTTCACAGCACCCACATCAGGGAGCTCACATTGAGCATCAACAGCTCTAAAACTGAATGGAAGACCTTCTCAGGAATTCAAGCTCATCTCATAACCTCTTCAACTGGCTGCCCATTTTGATTCCGCATGGTCTGTGGATGCAGCCCACTGTATTCACAAGAGCTCTTGAATCTGACTTCCTTCTGGCCTTATTCTCTTGGTTTAGTTCTTGATTGTTCTCTTGCAAGGACTTTGCAAGAGTTCCTGTGACAGACATCTTGCCTTCAAATTATTTAGTATCATAGGTACAGTAACACAGAGGAAATCGTTGGTGTGCAGAACTCCACTCTGCTCACACACTGACAGAGCTCATGCTACTTTTGACAACTCACAACATGCTCTGCAGATTGCCAGAGTCCGATGGTTCTTCCATGCTCTTTCAGCTCTAAGGCCTGATATTGCTCACTCTGTGTGTGTGTGTGTGTGTATCTGTGTGTATGTATTCATTCATATATATATATATATATATATATATATATATATATATAT